AAAATGGGGAAAAATGAGGGGAAAATGAGAAAAAAATGAGGGAAAAATTCGGGAAAAGTTGGGGGAAAATGAGGGAAAAATGAGGGAAAAATGAGGGGAAATGAGGGAAAAATGAGGGAAAAATGAGGGAAAAATGAGGGGAAAAATGAGGAAAAATGAGGGGAAAATGAGGGGAAAATGAGAGAAGAATGAGGGAAAAATTCTGGAAAAATGAGGGGAAAATGAGGGGAAAATTGGGGGAAAATTGGGGAAAAATGAGGGGAAAATGAGGGGAAAATGAGGGGAAAATGAGGGAAAAATGAGGGGAAAAATGAGGGAAAAATGAGGGAAAAATGAGGGGAAAATGAGGGGAAAAATGAGGGGAAAATGAGGGAAAAATTGGGGGAAAATGAAGGGAAAATGAGGGAAAAATGAGGGAAAAATGAGGGGAAAATTGGGGGAAAATTGGGGGAAAATTGGGGAAAAATGAGGGGAAAATGAGGGGAAAATGAGGGGAAAATGAGGGGAAAATGAGAGAAAAATGAGGGAAAAATGAGGGGAAAATGAGGGAAAAATGAGGGGAAAAATGAGGGAAAAATGAGGGAAAAATGAGGGGAAAATGAGGGGAAAATGAGGGGAAAATTGAGGGAAAAATGAGGGGAAAATGAGGGGAAAATGAGGGAAAAGTTGGGGGAAAATTTGGGGAAAAATTCAGAAAAATTGGGGAAAAATTGGGGGAAAATTTGGGAAAATCCGGGAAAAGTTTGGGAAAAATTCAGGAAATATTTGGGAAAAGTTGGAGAAAAATTTGGGAAAAGTTTGAGAAAAATTCGGGAGATATTCAGGAAAAGTTTGGGAAAACTTGGGAAAAAATTCAGGAAAAGTTGGGGGAAATTTTGGGAAAAATTTGGGAAAAATTCGGGAAAAGTTGGGGAAAATTTGGGGGAAAATTCAAGAAAAGGTTGGGAAAAATTCGGGAAAAATGTGGGGAAAAGTTGGGGGAAAATTGAGGAAAAATTCAGGAAAAATTTGGGAAAATCCGGGAAAAGTTTGGGATAAATTCAGGAAATATTTGGGAAAAGTTGGGGAAAAATTTGGGAAAAATTTGGGAAAAATTCAGAAAAAGTTTGGGAGAAGTTTGAGAGAAATTCAGGGAAAATTCGGGAAAAGTTTGGGGAAAGTTCAGGAAAAGTTGGGGAAAAATTAAAAAAAAATTTGGGAAAAGTTTGGGGAAAATTCGGGAAAAATTCAGGAAAAATTTGGGGAAAAGTTCGGGAAAAGTTGAGGAAAATTTTGGAAAAAGTTCAGGAAAAATTCAGGAAAAATTCAGGAAAAGTGCATGAAAAATTCAGGAAATATTTAGGAAAAGTTTGGGGAAAATTCAGGAAAAAAATGGGAAAAATTCAGGAAAAATCTGGGAATGATTTAGGAAAAAATTAGGAAAAGCTTGGGAAAAAACTGGGAATAATTTGGGGAAAAATTGGGAAAAATCTGGGAAAAATTTGGGGAAAAAAATGGGAAAAACCCGGGAAAAATCGATAAATAATATGGGAAAAAATTGGGAAAAAAATGGGAAAAAATTTGAAATAATTTGGGAGAAAATTGGGAAAAATCAGGGAATAATTTGGGAAAAACTTGGGAATAATTTGGGAAAAAAAAAAAGGGAAAATTCCAGGAAAAAACTGGGAAAAATCTGGGAAAAATGTAAGAAAAAATTGGGAATATTTGGGAAAAATCCTGGAAAAATCTAGGAATAATTTGGGAACAAATTGGAAAAAATCCTGGAAAAATCTGGGAATAATTTGGGAAAAAAATCTGGACAATTTGGGAAAAATCTGGGAAAAATCTGGGAAAAATCTAGGAATGATTTGGAGAAAAAATTAGGAAAAATTCGGGAAAAATCCTGGAAAAATCTGGGAATAATTTGGGAAAAAAATGGGAAAAGTTTGGAAAAAAACTGGGAAAAATCGAGGAATAGTTTGGGGAAAAAATGGGAAAAAACTGGGAAAATCCTGGAAAAATCTGGGAATAATTTGGGAAAAAAATTCAGGAAAAGTTTGGAAAAATCCGGGAAAAATTTGGGAAAAATCTGGGGAAATCTAGGAATGATTTGGGAAAAAAATTGGGAATAATTTGGGAAAAAATTGGAAAAAAATTGGGAAAAAATTGGGAAAAAATTGGGAATAATTTGGGGAAAAAAAATGAGAAAAAGCCGAGACTAATCTAGGAAGAATTTGGGGAAAAAAACTGGGGAAAAATTTGGGAAAAAATCAGGAAAATTTGGGAAAAATCCTGGAAAAATCTAGGAATAATTTGGGAACAAATTGGGAAAAATCTGAGAAAAATCTGGGAATAATTTGAAAAAAAAAATTGGGAAAAATCCGGGAAAAATCGAGAAATAATATGGGGAAAAAAAAAATAAAAAATTTGGGAAAAAAATTGGGAAAAATTTGTGGAAAAATCCAAATTTCCAAACCTTGGAGATGGGAAAAGGCTCCGGGTGTTTCTTGTAGAGGCTGAGAATTCCAGGCAGGATTTTTGGGATTTGTTCTTCCAATTTTTCCTCGGGAATTAAGGAGCTCATGGGACCCAGGGCTTCAACCACGGCCAGGCGGACCTGGAACATT